GAGACCGGCGTTATCAAGGCTCGTCAAGACAAAACCGACAATGAAGAGGCTTCAAGCACCCGAAAGAACAGCGCTAAACAGACCAACTTGAACACCGCCAAAGTCGAGACGGGCACTGAGACTGGAACTACAGACAACACCAAGACCGCTACCGAGACAGGCAAGAAGAAGTCCGGCACCAAAACTGGAACATCTGCACCCAAGCGCACAACCTTCTCTGCCGATGTTCAGCCCGGTGGTGTGAGCATGACACTTCCCGATACCATGTATGTTCCCACACCTCTCTTCAAGATTGGTGACTACGCCACCTTCGGCTGGAACTACACCTCACTTGAGGGCACACCAACTGCCATCGACGTCCTTGTCAGCCAGTCTTCCGCAGGCGAGACATATACTCTCACTGCCAATATGACTTTTGCGACCAACCCTACCTTCGTCTGGGACACCAGCAAGCAGGCCAACGACCCCGATGCTCCTCTCGTGGTCGGCATGTACACTCTTGTCATCAAGGATTCCGACTCGGCCATCACCGATCTGCCCTCTCCTGGCTACCTGCAAGTTGAGAAGACCTTCCAGTTTGGCATGTACACACCTGCAGCCTACACACCCTATCCCCAGTGGAACTGTGATATCTGCAACAACTAGTCAAAGCACCCAGTGTCATTTCTGTTTTTTATCCTTTTTTTTTGTTTTTTTTGCAACTGATTTTTGGAGTTATCATTGGGGGTGTTATGGACAGGCAAGCATCAGAAGGAGAAAAATTGTTTATTGGTTATTGTTTCACTTTTATCGGGATATTTCACGCTTTGTTGAAGGCGTTGACAGACGGGTGTCGCTGTGGTGAAGTCACATGGCAAGAACAGGGAGAGCCCCAGTTTGGATGCTTATGATTAATCAGGTGATCGAAATGAGTTGAATCATTTAATGATCTTATCTACTATATATATATTAATCTCATCGGTCCTTGGTTACCGATTGCGGTGAGTTTGTCTTCGGATAATCATAACCCCCGTCTTAAATCTTGTATCTCTATGGTTGTCTATTAAGGTTCTTATATGTGCCTAACCCCATAATAAGCTTAACCCGCCTAGAGAATCAATTATATATGTGCTTCGGGTTTATTTCCACATATCGTGGTAAACGTTGATGGCTTTTTTCGCCTCCCAGGAACAACGTTGGAATTGACACAATGCACATAAACTTAGACCATACGCAGCTGGAACCCTGCCCCCCTTTCTTCTTTATCCCGCCCCTGAAAAATGCCACTGAAGTCAGCATCGCCCAGCGACGCTGCCTGTCCACCACGCACAGGCGCATGAGGCTCTGCACGCCTTCGTCGTTCCTGATTCGCCTTACTAGGGAACGTTGGGAACATGCTCTCCGGTTTAGGCTTTGGGTCCTGTCGGAAGTACTCGTGCTGCAGCATCTCACTCGCCGACGGTCTTCTTTCAGGGTCAAGTGATAGGAGGTCACCCAGCAAATTGGCGCCTGCGGTAGTGAGGCCGGGAAAGCGAGCGCGAATGACAGATCCGGTAGCGCCTTGTGTCTTGGGAAGTCGCAATGAGCGCGCATTGGGGAGACGACGAAACCCAGGCCATATCTCTTCTGTGGGAACACCACAGAGCTCGAAGATGCGCGAGACTTGATCGACTTCATTCTTGCCCTGAAGAAGAGGCTCCCGGGTTATTAGCTCGCCAAATATACAGCCCACGCTCCACATGTCTACCGCCGCACCGTATGTCTTTGCGCCAAGTAGTAGCTCCGGAGCCCGGTACCAAAGAGTGACGACGAGTTGTGTTAGTTTCGGGGGAGGATCGCCAACATAGCGGGCCATACCAAAGTCGGCAATTTTCAACTGGCCACGGTTGCTAAGGAGGAGATTAGAGGTTTTGAGGTCGCGATGTATAATCCAGTTGTCATGGAGATATGCAATGCCTGACGTAAGCTGTAATAGGAGGCGCTTTACCTCGGAAGAGAGAAATGGCTCGGGCATATCATCAAGAATGGATTTTAGGTCGTGTTCGACGAATTCGAGGACGAGGAATAAAGAGCTGGCCTGGCTGTTAGCTGTAGTCTCCAACGCCAACCAAGTGTCATGTGCTTACTTGTCTGGCCGTGATACGTCGTCGCCTACAACCACTTCTTCCATGGTGACAATATTCCGGTGTTGGCAATCCTTTAATATTTGTATCTCCCGCAGGCCTGTGACGGGGAGCCCGTTTCGATCTTGAGGTTCCAGCTTCAACCTCTTGAGCGCGACAACCTTTCCCGTAGCTTTGTTTGTCGCCCGCGCAACCCAGCCGTAAGTCCCCTCCTCGATATCGTTTAGCTTCTCGTAATTCTCAACGCTTCTGCACTTCCCCCAGGCGCCCGATGGAAACCGCAACAGCTTCGCTGGAGGTGCCTTGCCTTGTTGGTTTGCGCCTGGTTCGGGGGTGATCCTGCGGCGCTTCGAGGGCCGGTCATCGTCAAGTTGGAGCGCTTTTTGTTGCGCAGCTTCTTGTGCTTTCTTCTCTTCTTCAATCTTTCGAGCCTTTTCTGCCTTCTTACGTCGCTTTTCTTCCTTGAGTTTGGCGTCGATACGGGCGTCTTCTTCGGTGTCGGCCCACCGAGATTTGCTGGACATAGCGGCCGTGGGAGACTGCGCGTAGCTTCTGTAACTAGTTTATGGATAGGAATCGAAACGAAAAACTTCCAAAGTCACGCATATGACGCTGTCTAATGGTGCCTGGGTTATGAGTGAAACAAGTTGGTGTTGCGGGGGGGAAACGTCCAAGTTGCCTTACCTAGTAGGTATGGATGGGCAAGTTTCTTATCTTATCAGTAAATACTTACTTCGAAAAGCATCGTCACTTGTTGCACTACTAGGTACAGCTTACATGGAAGTGAGAGCATCGCCAGCGGATTTATTCTGTAGCTAAGTCAATTACTCTCGCTCACAGGAGACAGGCTCAGGATGTTTAGGTCACTAGGCTCCAAACCTTTTGCGAGACTGAAACTGGACGGTGGCCGGTGTATACCATGGCCAAGCTTGTTCAATCCTTGTATTGGCCGGAGCCTCTCATCCACTGTTCGTAAACATCAAGATGCCACAGATATTGATGAGATATTCAAGAACGAGGACCAGAAGGAGAGCGAGAGACAGTGGTCAACGCCATTAGCCAAGCAGCTCTTCGCTGCTATATCAGTGAGTGAAACCCGCTACAAGTTCATGCTTATACTGACCATTCTTCTTAGACAACTGGACCTGTTCCGTTGGCCAGCTACATGCGCATGTGCTTGACTGGAGATATTGGAGGCTACTACACTGGGGCCATTGGTGAAGGTCGGGATCAGTTTGGCACAAAAGGAGATTTCGTTACATCGCCAGAGATTTCGCAAATCTTTGGTGAACTTGTCGGTATCTGGTTCATCGCTGAATGGATCAGCCAAGGTCGCCCTAAAGAGGGCGTCCAACTCATCGAGGTTGGCCCTGGTCGAGGTACTCTCATGGATGATATGCTTAGAGTATGTGACATTCATTGGTTGAGCTTGAAAGACTCACTAACTTGAATTATAGACCATTCAACGATTTCCCGCGATGGCTAATAGTATCGATGCTGTATACATGGTTGAAGCCAGCCGCGAACTGAGAAACACCCAGAAGCAACTCCTTTGTGGCCCGGATGCGCCATCATCAGAGTCAAAGTCTGGTTTTCATAGCCCCAGCAAGTACAACGGCAAGCAGATTGTCTGGACCGACACTATCAAGTCTATTCCAATTGGTAGGAAAAGCTCACATAATGTCACGGGTCTGGCTAACGGCAGTACGCAGGAACTGACAAAATGCCCTTCATAATCGCTCATGAGTTCTTTGATGCTCTCCCTATTCACAGCTTCCAATCCGCTTCAGCTCCTCCCCCTCAACCAAAGGCATCTTCACCGGCCTCGCCTGCTCAACTACCACCTAAGAACACCAAACCCGCTATGGAATGGCGAGAAATGATGGTCTCGCCGACGCCGCCGGGCGTCACTCACGCTCAACTTGGAACGCCAAAATCACAGCAAGATGAGCCGCCTCCTGAATTCCAGCTTACACTTTCATCCACGCCTACTCGCCACTCTCGTTTCCTCCCTGAGACCTCAACGAGGTACCGCAAGCTCAAGAATTTGCCCAATTCCGTCATTGAAGTGTGCCCAGATGCGTCCATCTTCGCTACAGACTTTGCAACTCGTATCGGCGGTTCTGAACAGTATCCCAAGACTAAGCCCAGCGGTGCTGCCCTTATTCTTGATTACGGAACGTCAGATACCGTCCCTATCAACTCCCTTCGCGGTATCCGGCACCACAAGCGAGTGAATCCCTTTTCTGCGCCTGGTCTGGTCGACTTGAGTGCAGATGTCGATTTCACTGCCATTGCTGAAGTGGCCATGTCAGCAAGTGAAGGCGTTGAAGTTCATGGACCCGTCAACCAGGGTGACTTTCTTGAGTTGATGGGCATCCGAGAGCGTGCTGAACAATTGACCAAGGCGTCGGGCGTCGACAAGGAGACTGCTGATAAGATCGACGGAGCCTGGAAGCGCCTTGTTGATAAGGGCCCTGACGGCATGGGGAAACTGTATAAAGCATTGGCTATCCTACCTGAGAATGAGGGTCGAAGACGACCAGTTGGGTTTGGGGGTGATGTCTTGTGTTAGCAATGGACATTGCTCGGCCGCTGTACTGCACCACGGTGCTTTAGGAGAATAAAGTCTGAAACGATATTGTAACAGTATGTAAATTGATCAAACCATTGTATCCTTATACGACAACTCTGATCTATCCAAACCCAAACCCAAAAGCCCATATACTACACGTATTACTCACTACCCACGCAAGAAAACGTTGCTTAATCGAAAACTCAGTTCAGTTCATTCATCAGTAAGATTTGATCCCTTCGACAACCCTACAATTACACAAACAGGATGCGCCCAGCTTTGATCGCATGCAGATTCAGCGTAAGTCAATTGCCATCCTCCTCTTACTTCGTTTTCACAAGCTTTGCGTCCTCCTCGTCACTTCCATCGTCTGAAAACTTGTCGCCATCCTCGCCTATAGCAAAAATGGTCTCATTCTCCAGTGACTCACGAGGAGCGGTACGAGTATTGTTTCTGGGTGGCTGAGCGCTGCTCTGCGACGCACTTGAAAAGGAGAGGACATTGGCGTTGCTTGAGTCGTTGCGAGTCTTGCCCACTTCGACGTCCTCGTCATCCGAGTCTTCTCCTGGAACACCGATATCGCCAAGGTCAAAGTTGCCATCGTCATCTTGAGCAATCTCATCACTCATGGCAAAGCGGCGGTTGTTGGAAGTAGGGCGCCAAAGGTAGGCGATCCATGCGACGTCAGCAAAGTAGACAACGTTCAACCAGCCATCGAGGATGAACCATCGTGTTTTCCAGTGGAAAGGAACAAAGTCGGGATCGCTGGCTGAGGCAAAGGTGAAGCTGTTGAAGAAGAAGAAACCAAAGATGACCATGACACTGATGAGGATGGCCCACCAGAGCTTTCGGTACATGGCTTCCTTTGCGTGCTGCTTTCGCTCGCGGAGATCCTTGAGTGTCCAGTTGAGTGAGTTGAGTGTCCAGACATAGAAGGCAGTCAATGTGCCCGCCAGGGGTAGGACGATAAGAAGCACAAATGGGCCTATATTCAGTCAGATACGACTAATGAAACAGTTCATTATAGAGGTCTTACCAGCTGTCTCAGGGGTGATGGAGAGGAAAGTCAGTGAGTAGACCAGTCCAAACAGGAAATGAGCCGCTGCAAGCCATCGCACCCTAATCATGGTCCTACCGAGGGTGTGCTTCACAACACCATAGCCCATGCAGACAATAAGCAGCAAGAAGAACGAGAATGAGTTTCGGCCAGCGTTAAGAATTCCAACAATGGTAAGGAAAACCTTCGAGCCAACATTGGAGCCATGGCGGTTCTGGTATTCTATACTCGAGTTAGGACGGGTAGACTAAACCAAAGGAGAGGCAAACCATAGAAACCCCATGTTATGAGCATTTCCACCACTAAGAAAACGAGAATGGCCGTGATGTAGTTTTGCACAGCCACTGAGTAAGGTCAGCATGCAATTAGCTGAAGCAGCGTATACGAGGTTCCTGCTTACATATGTCATGCCTGTGCTGATAGTACAAGAAACCCCAGTAGGCAGCAAGGAGAGCATACAAAATACTCATGCCACCATAGAAGGGCAACTTAGGAATCTGGGTTGCCTCTAGCTCGCCATAAGCGTTGCGATATTCGACTACTAGGTCGTACTTCTTTGTGTTTACCACATCTGTAAGAACGCAGTAGTATCCGGTCTTCTTGATAGCATAATTGATTGGAGCCGCATCGTTGAGGTGGACAGCCTTTGTGAGGACCACGCTCGAAGACTTCTTGTGGACGTCGGGATGCAGGATGAATTTGCCAATATCGGTCTTGTTACAGTAACCTTGCTTGACGAAATCGTCACCACAGACGCCAAGTCGCTATCATGTGTCAGAAGAGTGCGTGCGTGGCATGATATGGAATCGCCAGCACTTACGTTGCCGGGAGTATTCGGATCGGGGATTCCAACGAGGTTTCGGTCCTTCCACTCAAATATCACCAGGCTCGCAATCGGATCCTTTACATCGGAGTTGCTGGTGTTGAGGAACTTGACGAGGATGAATGGGTCAACGGGCCCACCCCATGAGGTTTTGCTGTACATGCCTGGAACATGTTAGATCCAAGAGTCGCCTTGCATGTTGGAGACATGACCTACCGGTACAGTATTCTTGATAGCCTTCCTTCTCGCTCTAGATGACAGAGACGTTAGTATTTGCGATCCGAACGATTCGCATTGCATCGCAGGATGGAGGCCGCCCGTACCAGTCCAATCTCATAAGCTTGGGTTGTCCAAAGGGACATGCCCAACACGAGCAGTCCCGTTAGGAACCTCATGATTATTATGTCGGTGGTCGCAGCGGGAGCGTCGGCGTGCTATGGTGAGATACGTGGGGGCGACGTTGGAATCAAGAAGGCCGAAATTCAAGACGAGAGACCAAACGTGCGAGACCAAAGGGAGCTTGAGCAACGTTTAAGTGGTGGCACGGGAGCTTCTCAATTTATGGAGCATATCGAGCCTGTCGAGAGTCCTTTCTAGCGTCGTCCTTGTCGACTCGGAGACGATCGATATTTTGTAGAGTTGTTGGGCGATACGGGTAATTGATGAGTCAAATTCAATTAGGTAGATCGGGGTTTGAAAGAAGATGCCTCGAGTTAATAAGTGACGAGTTGCAGATTCAAGGGAGTAACCAACGTGTATACGTAATTGGTCGCCGGTGATGCCAGGTCAGCACCAGCGGCAGGAGAAGCCAAGGGCCCCTGTTTTCCCATTGGCTCAGAGATCCACGATAGCGATAAGCCCCAGGTCGTCTCAGGCACCATGTTAGCTGCTAAGGTGCCCACAGCCTAGCGTGGTGGCGCATCATAAGTCTAACGTACCTATAGTTAGTCCATGAATGCGACTGTGAAATTCCATCTTCATCATCATAGCTTCTTTTCCCCCCAAGTTCTTTACGTTGAACCAGCGCAACAATGGGTAAAGGAACAGACAAGCTCTATGTAGGTCTACTCGTCTAACAAAACTCACGTTCCATCTGACTCAATGACTCCAGATTACACACTCAGAGTGGTCCTCAGCCGACGCCTTCTCCCCCAGTGTTGGCGCAGGCGCTTCTTCTCGCAATCAAAACGCCAGTGCATCATTTCGCCGTCTTCCTTTTAACTTTTGCGCAGCCAGTCTCCAACCCTTCAAGAACCCTGTATGCACCCCCGGTGGAACGATCTTCGACGTTGAGGTCATCAGCGCCTGGCTTGACAAGCACCCCAACCAGAACCCCGTCACTGGCGAGTCTCTACAAAAGAAAGATCTGATCCGTCTCAACTTTGCTCGGAATTCAGAATCAGACTCTCTTGGCGTGGGCTTGAGCGACGGAAAAGGCGACTTGATCGATCCGGTCACCTACAAAGTCTTCACCGACAACACCCATATTGTTGCCATTCGTCATGGGACCTACGCCAATGTCTTCGCTTGGGATACGGTCGAGCGTATGAATATCAAGGCCAAATCCTGGCGTGACCTCGTCGATGATGAAGAGTTTAGTCGCGCCGACATAATTACACTTCAGGATCCCCAGAGTGCGGCAAGTCGCAACCTGGACCAGTTCAAGTACCTGAAGGATGGCGAGCAGGCGCAATTGACCAAGGAACAGGAGGACGAGCGCAATGCCGGCAATATCAACTCCAGTGCATTAGGAAGCCTGGGCGACAAGGTTTCGCGTGCGAAAGCCGCGGTGGAGAAGGCGCGCAAGGCACGTGAGCAGGGCGGTGATATCAATCGTAGCTCGACTGCCCTCACCAAGCCTACTGCTGCCAACAATGTTGTCCGCCATTCTATGATCAAGGACAAGAAGCTGGCTGCTAACTCGGCAGCTTACACCACGGGCAAAGCCGCCGCTAGTTTCACCAGCACAGGACTGACACCTGAGACGAGCGGCGAGAGAGCTCTGCTGACGGATGAGGAGTATATGCTAAAGCCCAAGCGAGTCAAGACAACCGGGTATGCCAGAATAGAAACAAATCTGGGCGACATAACAATCGAGCTGTATCCTGAGTTTGCACCCAAGGCTGTGTGGAATTTCATAAGATTAGCACAGACTGGCTACTACAAGGGTGTAGCCTTTCATCGAAACATCCCAAACTTTATGATTCAGGGCGGTGATCCATCAGGCACGGGCCGAGGCGGGCAGAGTATATGGGGAAAGTATTTCGATGATGAGTTCGACGGTCCAATGTCACACAATGCCCGAGGAACGAGTTAGTAACCCATCATAAGCATGTTGTAGTCCTCGCTAACCTCTGATCACTAGTCTCCATGGCCAACAAGGGCAAGAATACAAACTCAAGTCAGTTCTTTATTGCGTATAAGCCCACGCCACACCTTGACCGCAAGCACACAGTCTTTGGAAAGGTTGTCGAGAATCTCAATATTCTTTCCAAGATGGAGGATGTACCTACAGATGGGTCTAGCCGACCCCTCAACAAAATTGTTATCAAAGACATCGTTATCTTTCACGACCCTTTCGCCGAGTTTCAGAAACAAAAACAGGAACACGAGCGTCAGACCAGGGAGCAGGAGAAGATTCAGTTACAAGGTGGCACAGACGATGACAAGACAACATGGACCGGCAAACGGATACGCAATGACGGCACTGTTGAGAGCACAGGCGCCGGTGAGAGCGTTGGCAAATACCTGAAGACCGCAACTCATCAGAACACAGCGACGACCAACGAGGCTGATATTGAGGACGTTGACACGTGGGAGGAACCAGCACGCAAGAAGATTAAGGGGGGTGGTTTTGGGAACTTTGACAGTTGGTAAATTAAGCAATGGGAAACATTTCGTCCATGCTATGCTGCAACGCGTCGGCAATCCATCCAAAAGGTGACGGGTATGTGCACTCTACATCTCGTCTCATCTAACAGAAATTATGCTAAGAATTGAAAAAAGCCCGTTGGTATTGCAACCATGGCATATAACTTGTCGCCATATGTCTCAATTTGATGCCCGATCGAATGGCGAAAAGTAATGGGGAGCGAATCCAAATATGGCACGCTCAAGTCAGGCTCGGCGCTCAGATGGATTAGACTGTTGACGGTAGAGCGTTTGCGTCAACCGTGGGAAGCTTGCTGAGGAGTGATGGGCTAAGAGTCAGGGGGTTATCCTTCTCCTGCAATAGTCCCGCCACCACACGCGCTTGCTCCAGACCAGCTTCTCTGTGGATAGCTTGCAGGCCCTCGATGGCATATTGTTTAGTTTCTGGGGAACATGCCGATGACATACCTAGCATGTACAACGGCCAGATGATGGTATTATTTGCCGACGCAAGGCTCATGAAACGAGTGACATCGTCGGTGTGAGGCGTCGACTGCGTTGGATCAAATAGTACCGGACTACCACCGCTACTGGATGTATCCTCTCCCGGGCCGACTCGTGAGTCTTGCGCAAATGGCGACGATATAACACGGCATGCTTGTTTCTTGGCTGCAATCGAAACCGTGTGCCCTTGGTCCTTCTTGTTCCTTATGTCCCGGATACTAACAACTCCGAGATGCTGGGGAACGCTGGCTGCAATTGCTTGTCCTAGCATATCCAACACTTTGAGGGATTTGGCAAGTAACTGGAAATGATTGTCTGATAGTGTAGTGCGGTCAGCCAATCCCACGGCAGCGCAAAGCTGCTCGACGAGCGTTTCCAGCAGCATCATCCTTATTCCGCGCACCATATTCCAAGTGGTGGATTGAAGAAGCCCAGCATAGACGTGGCATATTTGTCCTGATACTCGAGGGTCCGGTTGCGTCAGCTGTACGCGATGGTACTTCCAAGATTCTGGCAGTCCGGATAGTATCGATGAAAATTCCTTCTCAACATTTGATATGGCGGCGACAACATCATCAAGACCGACTAGTTTTCTCGTGTTGATGTCGTAGCGCACCTGTAGTGCTTTGTATATGGGATATGCCACATGAAAATCAGGTCCTCCGAGTTCTTCAGAAGGGGGAATCTCGCATCGGAGGTCTATTAGTGTTTGTGGCATAGGTAGGCCGCTCTGTATGCAGCTTATAAGAACTGTATGGCAAAGCATGAGAAACATGCGAGCACCAGCTTTGCTTCGAAACTGGGCAGAACCTCTAATGTTTGCCAGGGCAGCAGCTCCGTTAACGTGGTCTTGCCAGGCACGCATCGTATGGGAACTGTATCCCGAAACAAACTCGAAAGTGCCGAGTATCAAGACCGCGAGCATGGTTGTGTCTTTCACAACCTCGATTGGGTCTCGAAGTGCACGGTGCGTCAATCCGAGGGCGATAGCATAACTCTCTTGTGCCCGTGTCATAAGATCTGGGGATCGGAAAACCTGCGAGCATCCTGCAAGTCCAACAGCTGTCATACTGACAGTGACAGGATCAACTTGAGCCTGTGCCGAGTCCGGAGGTTTCCATACATCGTAAATAAAAGCATAGTTTTGATAAGAGCCTCTGTCGGCTACAACGTAGCGAGAGAAGAAAAAAGCAGTGCCCTTGTCTTGAAGTTCAGGTGATAGAGCGTCATCCAAGTGATCGCGGTCTTCAGTTGTTTCACTTGGACCAATGACATCGCTGGCATCACTCGGGCTTTCATGAGAGGTTTCCGATGGAGACCGGCTCCAGTCGTTAATCAAAGCGGAAAGGACAGGCGCGCGGCAGCGAGTGCTAGATTTCCGAGCACGTCTGGCTTTGACCTTGTTTGATTTCTCTGTCTTGGTGGCAGGGGCAGGGGCTGCACTGGACCTCGGGTCAATGGCGAACGTCGGTGGTGACTTGATAGTCACAACGGATGATGGGGGAGATGTTGAGGCCGAGGCGAGCTCCTGGCTAACAGGACTCTTTTGTGATTGATTAGATCGAGCCCGTGTCTTGACCGCTTTCTTGATAACATGGGAACTTTCATCTCTAAACATTAGATCGACGAGATTGCGGTAGCCAGGGCATGGCTGATTCTTCTTCTCGCATTGCGTACATGCTGGCTCCTTTTGGTCACACTTGATTTTGATATTCACTTGTCAGTAAGAGCACTGGGAAACAGGCTGAGAAGACGACGGCCGGGAGGCTATGGGTATCTGACGGAACTCATGTGGATTGTGGTAATGGACTGGACCAACTCACCCGAATCTTGCGACGGCGGCAGGTGGAGCAGCCACCAGAGGGCTTCCCGCAATATACCATGACGGCTTGTATAAGAGAGGCAAGACGCACGGCCTCGTAATTAGAATCTCAGACTGGTCAAGTCGAGATAAGAGAACGTGAGGTCAAAAGGGATGGCGCTTTGGCAGTCATGACATGATGGGCACCTATCAGTGAGA